CCCGGTGTACATGACCGTTTGGGACGTGAGGATCGAACAACAACGGAGAACGGGGGGCAGACGATGATGATCTGCTTCTCACCAACGGTGGCAGCTTAGCGAATAGGGATCTGCTCTTAGCTTCGACCAATGGAAGATATCAACCACAAGCCTAAGAGAAGCGTGTTTCTGATGGTACATTGTGCCAATCCTATCCCAGACAGTCAGTACCAAGCAAGGCCTTCAGCTAGCCCCCGCTGGAAGGTTGAACCATGTGAGAGAAGCGTTTGGATATAGCCATTCGCACGCAGGTTTGTGAGAGGATCGTCTGTTGCTTTGTTGCGGGGAATCGACGAGGGCTCCCATGCCTATATTGCCGTGCCTGTGTGAATGCTTATGACACTTATACTATACAGATACCGCGTGTCTGCTACTCTGCCACTCTGCTTAAGAACGTTGTCGTGTATATGAGGTGGTGAAACGGCGCCGGTGGGCAGCATGAAAAGAAATTCGTGCTCCACGGTCACACTCTTGAGGAGGTCAGAGACTTTGTGTATGTAAATGTTGGATGACGGCGACAGACGGGCAGAAGAATTGACTCGTGATTTGTCGGAACGGTGCAGGGAGACAGGCTGCCAGTTGCTGCATGGCGAGAGGCAAAATTGAGGGAACGAAGCAAACGATCTGAGAGGCTGATGAAATGAAAGACAAGTTTCGGCCGCTGATCTGATGACATCACTCGGCCGATGCCAGGGGCCCCGGGATACCTTGTCCGAGGCCCCTCTCGGTGTATCAGGTTTCCTGGTGGTGGTGGAGGAGAGTTGAGAGTTCACAGCCTGTAAGATGCGACGGTTGTGGCGCCGGGATCATTCTTGGAGGCGCAGGCGGGCAGAATGTCAGAATCCATGGGGAGCAGTCGTCGGACGTGTTCTCAGCCGCCAGCAACCGCGTCATAGCTAAGGCAAACTGCGTGAGGGGCACAAAGTACTGCAAGTATTCGTACTCAGGAAGGGTTAAAACCCCCGATCCTTTGTGTTTGAGGGCGAATAGAAGAATAAAGATCCGTACAGGCGAGTCCGTCGATAGTTTGGGGAGAAGAAAAGGCAAAACGTCCCTGAGGCCGGCCTATTGTACTGCACAGTAAGGTATCCATGGGCTCAAGAGAGCATGGAGGAGGACTAGTGTAATCGGGAGAAAGGTTGCCCTTGAAAGAAGCGTGGAAGCGTAGCGAGAGAGGGGGAAAAAAAAAAAAAAGCCTCCCGAGATCTCAGTCTGTCTCTCCAGGGTCCCTGCATCGGAGACACACAAAGGATATGCTTCTTTCTCGTCTCTCACTCAACCATTGGGTTTTCCATTGCGGTCAGCGCATGCAAGTGCAGCAAGCAAACAGGCGAGCAAGCGGCTTTCTCTCTCGGTTACCTGGCCGGTGAACCTTTCCTTGCTAGTTCTGCCTTGCGCTGCCTTCTTTGTCCCTGCCTTACGCAGTGCTCCCCATCTCTTGTTCCCAGTCGGACCCGTGGCGCTGGCCAAGCTAATGTAGTGTGCAAGTGCAACAACTAGTATACATCCTGTACAACGTCGCGTTGGATATTACCTGGGTCGGGCGGTTGTTCTAATGTAGGAACGGGGCCGAGAGGGTCCTGGGAGGGTGGGGAGTCACTGGACGACTGAGTTTTGGGGGCCTGCCCTAGTGGGAGGGAAGGGATCCTGTCATCTTTGCGGACAGCGGTCGGTATCCCGAGATGTGACAGAGTGGCATCGAGGGGGTTGACCGCTGGCGGCTGCTGATGTTGGTCAGTGTCTTGGAATAAGCATCGTGGATGCCCAAACCCGTGCAGTGTCGGCTTCCGGCTCTGCGGGACTTGGTGACGTGGGGTTCGAATCGAGCAGAGTGTCGCTGGTGATGAAAAGCAATTCTCTCTTCGCCATGTCATTGTCACGACATGTTGGTACTGGGGGAAGTCTCTCATCGTCTTGGCCGCGTGACATGAGAAACGGGAGGATCAGGATTGGGAAGAAACGGTTGAGAGCGGGACGGGCGCTCCATCGTGAGAAGAGAAGAAAAGGGACCGTAAACCCCCACCTCGCTCGCGACCTGCCGCCCTCAGTACAATGCGTAGCGTGGTGTATCCGTATACGTATTCCATATTCTTTGTACGGATACAAATATTTAGCGTGGTTCCTAATGGTGTTTTTGAGTTTTGCTGAGTGAGCAGTTGAGCAGCTTCGCCTCATCGGCCCAACTGACAGGCAGGCACTCGTATGGGAATTGGAATCCGCTCTTGTGCTGGAGACGAATTCAAGATCATAACCGCCTGTCTCCTGGCAGTACGGATACCCGTAGGCAGATGAAAACTCGAGAGTCAAGAGTGGTAAGACGGGGGACGGGTGGAGGGCGCCAACGCCGCCAAACCGGCTGCTGTCTGCCGGGAGTGGACGGCGGGGAGGTTCGCGCGCCAGTGAAAAGTCAGGCGTTGAGCTTGGCGGCAGACAAATCTCAGTGTGAATTCGGATTGTGGATGGGATCGATGGATACGTCTCCGCACGGCGGAGCCCAACTCTGAGCTCTCAAGTTTCTGTCGTGGGTGGTGGAGATCGGGGGTGTCAGTCTTGACCTTGGAGGGTATGGCGTCACAGGCGCTGATCAGCCAATTTGGGCTGGCAGGGGTCCAACAGCGGAGAGTCTCAAGTATCCCTACTTGTGTCGACGGGCAGAAATGCATACTCTGTGTAGGTTCCGTAAGTACTCTGTATCTGTAATTACTGCTGCTATCCTGACTCCGTGCCCTCCTGCCTAGGTATTCATGGACACCTGATCCCACGAGACGCGGTCGGCGGGTGCAGTGGCAGAGCGTAGGCGCAGACGCAGACACAAAGGGTAGGTTTCGTTTGACTTGTAAACAGCATTTGCTCAATTTGCTTGCATGTAATGGAGCGGGTCGTCGGGTTGGTTGGTTAGAGATCCAGGGTCCTTGTGGGAGGTCAGGGAAGACAAGCCCCGATACCTGAGCTGTATTACTCCGTATATATGTCTACTACCCATCTGTTCAGGGGAGTAGCAAGTCTGAGAGTGTAAGTCTTGATAGGTATTTGTCGATGAATCGGTGAGATATCTCGGCAAGCCGTTGCTTTTGGTTCTCCACTGGAGATTTCTTTTGGATCGCTCAGCGGTGGTGGTGGGTGACTACTTGCATGCTGCCGGGTAGAAGAGAAGCAGGAGGAGGCAGTTATGTAAGGGATCGGCGGTATTGACGGTCGCACACCGATGCTACGACTCAAGGAGTCAAGAGGGAGTGATGAAGGCGAGGGGTGGCATTTGTGAAATGGCAGCTTTCGACCAGCACAGCACAGCACAAGCACTGTGTCGGCGGGGGGATTGCGGTACACGATCGTGATGAAATGATATGGGAAAAGTTGTAGTCTCAAGTTTGAACATTCTCAGCGAGACGCATGCTCTTGCTATTGCTACTGCTACTGCTACATGGAGCGACGTCGGCAAGACTCCGGGCCACCTGCCTTAGTGTCTTATCGCACCCTACAATACTTAGGTAGTGTGAGCAGGTGGAATTTTAAATCGCAGGCAGGCGGCAGGCGGGGCAGTCGGGAAGTAGAGACCAGACTACGAGAACAGGCTATTGCAAATTCGTCAAAATATCGTGAAAGAGGCGGTAGGAGAGAAAGGCCCGGAGGACGGGAGTGCGAGTAATTAGGATGGAAGGAGAGGCCAAGGATGAGAAGAACGGAAGCTCGTCCGGTGTGGCACAGTGACACCCAGCAAATTGCAACTGGCTGCGGGACGGGAAGTGGAAGTGGACGTGGGAGCCGGAGAGAAAGCAACGGAAGGGAGACCGTACCTAAGAAACCTACCTGGGACATACCTATCCAGAGTACGTACCTATCTACCTTGGGGATCATGTGCCTTCCGGTACGTGCCAGGGTGCTGACATGCCCGACCAACGTCACAATGTGTGGGGAAAGCCAGCGTAACATGTGGGCAGAAAAAGACTGCCTCAGGTCAAATGGACAAGTACTAAGATACATAGTGAAATACCCAATTTGCAGGCGCAGGGTTAGGGACACCGAATTAAAGGACCCGCCGGTGCGGTACGGGGATACTTTTCTTGAATCCAATGGAAAGACCCGTGTGGTACGTACACCAAGCCCTCGGTGAAAGCGGTAGCCTCCCTGTTAGGTACCTTAGGTAGGCTTGGTTCTTTCCCACGTCAGGTCTTTCCCTGCTTTCCCCATCTTTTGCACGGTTCCTTGCCTCATCGTTGCCCCCCCAAATGCTTCCTTCCACCTTCCATTCTAACCGGGCACTTGGACGCTTTTAGCAACATCCTAACTACTACTGGTACCTTTGTAGATACTTGGACGTTCCTCCCCGGGCAGGTTGAACTCCAGAAGGTGACGGATAAGTCCAGAGACCACAGCTATGCGGTACGTACCGCCCTTCCCCTCTCTGGCACCCGTCCGTCTCATCAGTCTCATCCGTCTCAGGCGCAAACAATCACAAACACGCCGTCGCCTTCTGAGGTTGTCGTCAATCTCGAATTCCAACCAGGCCGTGCCACTCCTCTGCGCACAATTACACTAATTCTGCTCGGCGCGTTTCTGTTTCCATGGGTGCATGGCTGGTTCAAGGGCTCAAGCAGCATCTGTTTTCGACCTGGGTCCCTCTATTCAGAACATCAGACTACATGGTCCAAGACCACAGTCGCCGCCATCATTCCTGCTTGCATACCCTAGTAATGAGTAGACTGCTAGTACGGCAGCAGCATCGCGGACTGGATCACGATCAAGATCTCTTCTAGGCAGGCCGCACCGCTGGACTCTGTGGCGCCGGAGCAGTGTGGCAGCTTGTCCTCACCATCTCCGATTCGACCCTCCCGTAATTCCACTGGACTCGGCGGTCAATCATTCATCACACGGGACCCGTCCATGCCGCCGCTCCCTCACCACACACCAGGAAGCGTTAGTGCGAACCCACACATACATAGCATTCTATTCCTACATGGCTGGCGCAATCCACACCGTGCCTCGACACAGGAACAGAGCATCACGGTCCTCAGCTGCATCCCTCCCCCAACTCTCAGCTTCCTGGCCACTAGCTGACTTCATTAGCATACACAGTAGCGGCATGCTCAAGTTCTTTGCAGCTCGCACCGCACCGACCAGGCGAACCTGCGAGTACCTAGAAGAAAACCATCCAAGCCAGACGGCATGGCGGAGACACCCAGCTACGCAATACCTTTCGAGTCTCGCAGAACAAGCAAACCCAGTCCCAGTTGAAGCTCCCTCACCTCAAAAGAAAGAGTTGCAGAGGCAAAACAACCCACGACACACGCACGGCGACAAAACGGTTGCGATAACATCATCCTTCTCCACACCGCTTCAGCCTGACCGGGCCACTCTACGAATAACGACCAGTTACAACGGCCGCCTGCCATTTCGACCTTTGCTGTCCCGCCCCTGTCGTTGTGTTGCGGTCCCTCTCGACGATCCCTGTCGTGTCCATCGTCACTCTCCACCACCCCCAGCAGCACTCAAGGCGCCCTCGCTCTCACACCACGCTCGCTCCCAAGCCCCCAACACCCCCCCGTTCTGCCTTTGCCGCAGACTCAATCCTCGACTCCTACGACATATTGGGTGGGAGTCTGGCAAGGGCCCCAATCCGATCGACACCACAAAGCCACCAAAGTCCAACCAAAAAGGCCAAAGAGGGCATCCCAGTCTTTGCAACTGGTCCTGAGTACCGCAGATCGCGACAACTTGGCCGCCTGTGAACGTCAACGTCTGAACCAAAATCCACCCAAGCCAAGCCAGCTATTTGTGACCCCTTCACCTCTTTTTCTACCAATCCCACAGATCGCATTCCATTGTACAGCTACCACGGCCGTCGACGCAACCGCACGCTACCGAGTACACACATACATACATACATACATACATACATACATACATACATACATACATACATACATACCGTGTTGTAGCTCATCACTTCCGTTCTCTCGCTCGGTCTTCCCTACCGTCGCAATCCCGTATTACTTCCACGACATTCCCGCTCTCGGTCACCTATTCTCTGGGACTCTATTCTCTTTTCTCCCGCTCCTCAAATTCCGATTGCCATACGACCCCCACCTTCAAGGAGCAGCAAAAGAGAAGTAATCGGCGCGAAAGACGATTTCTTCCAAGAACCCATACGGAACCCTACCAAAGACGAAGTGACAAGGAAGAAGGAAAATTGAGCGCAAAGAAAAAATAAAACAAAAAGGCAGAGGCTGCCCAAAAACCCACCCACACACCCACGAGACCTCGTCTGCCCCCCATTCATAGTCATACACTACCCGTTGCGGCCCACCGCGCCTTTTTTTCCTTCCTCTTCCCCTTTGCTCGACACTCGGCTTGTTCCTTTTCATCTGCTCTTCTTCCCTCCTCCCGCCGCCGGCTCTGTCCCTGCCTACGAGACCGGTAGGACCCTACTTGCTTCCGGAATACAACCACCAATACCCCTACATTCCATAACAATCCACGCCCCCATATACACCACCACCCGCCGCCATCACCGCTACTAGTACCACATTTGCAACCACCTGACTCTTCCGCCGCCATCCTCGACTCCTCTGCCACTGTGAGCCTGCTCCAGAGAGCCTTGACCCTGCTTTACAAGGTGGCAAGACCCCGTTTCTCAAATCGAGCCTGGTGACGGAGTTGCATCCATTCAAAACCAATATTTGCCTTTTGAGCCGCCCTTTTCGCTCTTTGGCAACCAACTTTTCCTGCCACTTGGCAATCGAATCAATCCACACCGTCCCCTAAACGCCAGCAATCTCGCGCAGTACTCTCACCGACAATCACCTCTAAACATCACAACCACAGCAACCAACTCAATAAAGCTGTCAACATGGACAACGAACACCAAGCACAGTTCAGCGAACAATCGCATCTCCCTCCTCATATCGAGCGGTCCCAATCAAGCTCGTCTTCCTCTTCGGTCGATCACGAACACGACGAGCATCACATCCACCAGCCGACTCCTATTCGACCTCGGTTGCCCAGCAGAAAGAGCAGCGGGCCGTTGGTGGTACCCCGGGACAGCTCGGCAGTGGGCCCAGTAGATGCAGAGTTTGGACCCGACGATGTGAGGGCTATGAGCCCACGGAGGACTAGTGAAGACATCGAAGCACTTGGAAGGGAAGCGCGGGAAGAGCTCAAGAGGTAAACGAAACCCTCTGCCACTTTGAGACGCGCGCATCACTAACAGTACCACTCTGTGCAGACATGCAAAGGCCTTGCAGGACTCGCTCTTGACCATCTTTAACCGCATCGAGGCCGTCAGAGAAGAACACGACAAGCTCGATAACAACAACAAGTTCCTCCAAAAGTACATTGGCGACCTCATGACCACGAGTAAAATTACTGCCGCGCCTACCAAGGGCAAGAAATAAGGGTTCTACAAGCACCTTAAGTTTGAAGAGGAGGATACAGATTGCACCATATCACCTCCCTCGAATCGTTCCTTACAATCGTGGACTTACACTCAGTCCGCGATAGCTTGACCACCTATGCGAGGTCGCTTGCAACCCCTTGTGCTGGGGGACGCGCATCCTGACGCCAATCAGGATCAATCACACTTGTAAAGTGCTCTTTGAGCACCTCACTACACTGCCTAATCGGACACCGCCCGCGACGGGCATGATACCCCCTTTTGGCCGAAATGGCCTACAGCGTTATTCTGAACTCGTTTATGGCTTTACGGCACGGACACGGTATTTGGAGAGGGAAAAAAAACTTGCATCGGCTCGCGACTTGTACACTAACGAACATCATCATCATCATCATTGGGGGTTTCGACAAACCATCAAATGACATATTGGGCATAGGACAGCATCAGGCGTTCCGGATTTTTGGTATAGGGCTACGGCCTTTGGGATTACGTTCGCATATTGTTTATACACCTCGCCATAGGCGGGGGGAGGTATCGACCTCGAATTGACCAAAGGAATATCTTTCATCCATTCGCATCGGCCTGGCTTCCGCAATCACGACGGAGCCATCAAGTGACAGCATCTAACCTCGACCACTTTTTGTAAGATTGACGATGCCCAGTAGTGTTCAGCCGCGAATGAGTCGCGGTCTGCGAAATTTGTGGTGGTTGACCTGCGCCACACGAAGATCCCTCACCAACTTCCGAACATGTCGAAAGCACGCCGACGTCATTTGCCACCGATTACCAATGTCGCCCACAACGCCCACCATTGATTCGTATTACGGGATAGGGTCGCACGCGAGAAAAGATTCTGCCGAGTAAGGCTCGATTGGAGGCAAATCCATCGACAATTTGTCCAAACGCTCCACAGAGGGGATTGAAGGAGGGGTGAAAGGGTTTGCAACATTTTGTGTGCGAGGCCATACAAGCGCGACGTTATGCGATGGTTGTTACACGAAGCTCCCACCGAGCTTATGGATCGGCATGGAGCTAGTCAACAACGTCTTTGTGCGGTTGGATGGGTACCTAGGGGACCCGACAGCAGAGGATGAGCATACGTCAAACTTCGGGGAGATGTGCTCGAAGAAGGCTGCTATTGGTGGTACTAGCCGCCGAAAGACCAAATGAGCATCGAGATGAGGTAGAGAGGGTGTTCGTATGCGACTGGTGGGATGATGGAAGCTGATGACATGTGAGGAATGATCGGCCTTACGGCAGCAGCGACCGGGTCCGGAACGCGGGGTTGTGGCAGAGGCGCGTTGTGTCTGCTGACTGGATTCTTGAGTCCGTCCGTTGGTAGTACGACTTTGGTATGGGAGGGCTCGTCAGCTATGAAGGATTTAGGGATGAGATTTGAGTCTATTGAGATGATGAGTCGACGTCAAGCTAGTACACGTGGATTGATTGGTAGCTATTGGCAAAAGTGTACTTTCAGTAGGGTTTTTTCCGTTGCCCATATGGTGAGAAGAAAGTAGTACAACTGCCTTTCCATAGCAATTTATCAATATGAATCTCTTGCTGCTTAATCCATCTTCTTACCTCCCCTTCGATGACTAGGAACACTATGTACGTTGCGGTATTCACCTCGAGAGAGGGATCTACATAGATGCAGCTGTGAGCATCTACAGTACCTTTTTCCACGGTCATCTCAGGAAGCCCGCCATACAGAAAGTACCAGGCCAGGTTGATAAGGACGCTGTGCAAACAACGTCGAGGGTTTTCTATTCTCCACTCCTTGATAGGCACTGGGTTCAAAGAACTAGACGTACTCCCGAATTATAACCAAGCTGCCTGCCATTCGTGACCTGTAAGATGGAACGGTCATCTCCGCCGCGATTCGTGCGTCGACTTTCAGTGTGTGTTTTCTTAGTTCGGACTTGGCATTAAAACGACTCGATTTGATGTATGTGTCTCATATTTGGTCACCAGCTGTTCGTAGAAACATGCTTTATGATGTCCGCTGGTTCCGTCGCTGGGATGCCACTCTCGAGAAGATTCGCACTTAATATGGTACTATCACTATTATTTATGACTTCCTTCTTGGATGGCACGTTGAGTGGTGAGCAACTTTTGCACAAGCGCCATTTCATTACTTCAACAGAAATTTCGCTTCAGAGTTAGTGTAATTGTCCACTTGTACGAGTATCGTTCATTGCTTTGGTAGCTGTTGTATAAAAGATCTGGTGTGCAATACACGGCAGGGTGCCCTGCATAAGATGCTACCTTTTGGCACTAAGCGAGCTAAAACCCGTAGAACATGTTGATTCAGATACCTCGTTATGCATCTTATCTGAATTGTTGGGTGTTTGTCAAGATTTACCCGTGATGCTATTTAACCTTGTAGGTAGTCATGGACTCGTCGGACCACGTGCAACTTGAAGCATCGATGTTTACGTCAATGCTCATCGAGCGTTGCTTTCTCAGTCCTTTTCTCTCATATTAAAAGCCGGAAAACCGCAAAATAACTATCCAGTCGCAGCAAAATTCTTCTGTAAAGAGATGATGTAAGTAATATTTAGACACATTTGGGACCGTTATGAAATCCCGAGCCTCTGGTCACTTGGAGTCTTGGACTGCATGCAACCTTGAGTTCTCTAGTCTTCTTGGCTGCTTGGCAAAGTGGACTACATAGCGTACTTGCCGTTTTAGGAAACAGCCACATTTCATCTCACGGTGCCTTCTAATATCAAACAACGACGATTGTCTAGAGGAAATCAGTCAGAATACTGTTTTTGATGCATCATTGTAGATAATGGCAACAATAGCCGACGTTTAACTAGACGGGCCCGCTAGGTTGTCTTGTGATTAGTCATGGGGTTTGAGTAGCCGGTTAGCCGACAACCCTAGATTTGACGACAAACGCGTGTCATGAAGTCATTCACGCCCCTTCCTTAGCCTTTTACTTTGCTTCGCGCAAACCACAGTAAAGCGAAACAATGAATCGTCCGTCTCGCACTGACGAGCCCTACGAAGGCGAGGGCTACAACCAGAGCCCAAACGATTTGTCCAATGACTTGACCACCAACCAAGACCTCAACGGCATCGTCAACGCCAGGGCCTTGGAGCCGGGGGAGGATGACAAGGGCCTGTCGCTGGCGGGGGACTCGGGGACGGGCGATGGGGATATATCGCGGTCCTGTCACGATGTGGATTGGGGCAAAGGCGGCTCCGGTCCCGCGGCTGCGGCCGCGACGACCAAGTCTGATGGGCTTGGTCTACCCCAGGGAGAGGAGGTCCCCGCGACCCCTCTCCCTACCCTTCACTCCCATCAAGTTCTCTCCGGAGTTGGAGGGTACTCGCCCAAAATTCATCAAGCCTTGTACGGCCGGGTGAAGAAGGCCATTGTGAAGTTTGGCTCGTTTATCGGGCCCGGGTTCATGATTGCTGTTGCGTATAGTGAGATTTGTTCCTCGCTTTCTCCCTCCGTAAACACCCGCGAAAAGTAATAAACTGTGACTAACATCAGTCTGCGCCTTTCATAGTTGACCCCGGAAACTATTCAACAGACGTCGCTGCAGGAGCAAGCTACCGTTTCAGACTGCTCTTTGTCGTACTCTTGTCCAACCTCTTTGCCATCTTCCTCCAGAGCCTGTGTATCAAGCTCGGTACCGTCACCGGGCTCAACCTGGCTGAAGCATGTCGGGCTTTCCTGCCGCGATGGATGAACTATCTTCTCTACGTATTCGCAGAGGTTGCCATCATTGCCACCGACATTGCCGAGGTGAGTTCTGCCAATCCATGACTGCTGTGCCTCCATGTCGAAATTCTCCGTTTACTAAGGGATGTCTGCATCGGTTTAGGTCATTGGATTCGCGATTGGTCTGAACCTTCTCGTCCCGGCCATACCTCTGGTAGCAGGATGCGCAATTTCCATCTTGGACGTCATGATCATCCTCGTCTTTTACCGACCCCACGGATCCATGAGAGGCCTGCGAATCTTTGAGTACTTCATCATCGGTCTGGTGTTGGCGGTGGTTGTCTGCTTCTGTATCCAGCTCTCGCTCATCAAGGATACGCCGGTGGGAGAAGTCTTTCAAGGGTATCTGCCATCGCGTGCCGTGGTCGAATCGCAAGGGTAATCTCCCCAGCCTTCACTTCCTCATTTTTTTTTCTCCCGCTGAAAAATATCTAAAACGCACGTAGTTTATACCAAGCCTGCGGTATCCTAGGCGCAACAGTCATGCCTCACAGCCTATACCTCGGCTCCGGTATCGTCCAAGCCCGCCTCCGAGAATACGACACAAAACACAACCTCCTACCCCCCGAAATGGACGAAGTCGACCTGAACGGCGACAGTATCGATAAAGGCTACTACGTGCCGTCCGCCAAAGCAATCAAGCACTCTCTCAAAACCTCGACCGCAGAGTTGAGCATCTCACTCTTCACTTTCGCCCTGTTCGTCAACTCGGCCATCCTCATCGTCGCGGGCGTCTCCCTGTACGGGAACCCCGAAGCGCCCGACGCCGACATCTTTAGCATCCACCAGCTCCTCACGGACTCCATCTCCAAGGCGGCGGGTACGATCTTCGCCCTCGCGCTGCTCCTCTCCGGCGTCTCGGCGGGGATCGTGTGTACCATTGCTGGTCAGATGGTTAGTGAGGGCGCGTTAAACTGGAAAGTCCGTCCTTGGCTGCGACGTCTGGCGACGCGGAGTATCAGCGTCACGCCCAGTATTGTGATTGCTGGCGCCGTAGGGCGAAAGGGCGTCAGCGAGGCGCTGAATGCTTCCCAGGTGGTGCTCAGTGTCGTCTTACCGTTTGTTACGGCGCCGTTGATCTACTTTACTTGCAGGGATAAGTTTATGACGGTCCGGGATGGGCCGGGCGGCGGTGCTCGGTTCAGAATCGGAGGCGGCGGTGGCACCGATGATGAAGAGTCTACGACAGCCCCTACGGACGGCACCGTCAAGATGGCAAATTCGTGGTACACTGCTGGGTTTGCAGTCTTGGTTTGGGTCATTATGGCTGCGATGAACGTGGCTAACTTGGTCCTGCTTGGGAAGGGTGAGTGAGTGAAGGAAGGGGAGCTAGCAGTATGCCCGGTGAGGGGCAATTCTGCCTTGAAGGTGATGATGGCGTGTAGGCGGAGACCCAAAAGTCGTCCGTCTCTGATTTCGTTCTGATTTGGGTTGCTCTGTCTATGTTTGACTTTCCACTTGTTTTTGGTCTTGTACTCTGTTAGATCTGATCCGACCGCACTTTCCAACCAGTGTATTTGGTCAAGTCGTATTTTAGACGAGGTTCAACCCTCCGTTGCAAAAGTTCGTGTCTCTAAGAAATGGCACGTTATACACGCAAAAAGAAAAGGTTTTGCCTTTCGAGGAGAGCAATCGGGAATGACAGAGAGCGCTGCTATCTTTTCATGCTTGCGTGTACCATCGTGGAATTGGTAATCGCCTTCCACAATAATGACAAAGAGAAGAGCTTGTCGGAAACTGTTGTAAAGCAGCCAAGGCATTTAGGTTCCGAAGTTAGATATGTCTACTTACTGTGTAGTCGGAAGAGCCCCGCATGGATAATCGGATCGGTTCGAGTCATGCGCTACGATAGTCGAAGGTTCTCCGCATGTAAAGGAATATAGATTCCGCTATCCTTATATGACGTCGGGTTTATTGTCTAGTACGCAGCTTGCCTCCATTCTTACACAAAAACACTACAGGATCGCGAGCACGAAATTTAGGGTCACTGCCATTACCTGCGCCGAATTTCATTCAACCAAAGGCCTCGTTACCACGTCCTAATCCTTCAACGGCCCAGACAAGCATTGCCGACATGTCTCATCTCAAGTATTACTCCTATGAAGGCGTAGGCCAGAGAAATCTCGCTGGTTTCAGCTACAACCAGGCAGTGAGAATTGGTGACCGCATTGAATGCTCTGGTCAAGGTATGCCGTGTCCCTAACAGTCTCCTCAAACCCAGACACATGCTGACACAACACTCAGGCGGATGGGATCCCAAGACGGGCGAGTTTTACAAGGAAATCAACGCTCAAATAGATCAAGCATTCGCCAATGTGGATCTCAACCTCAAGGATGCTGGCGGAACAGGCTGGGAGCAGGTTTTCCGGGTCAACTCGTACCATGTGCCGATTAACGACGAAGCTTTGGCAGCCATGGTACGGAACTTCAGAAAGTGGATGCCGAACCACAAGCCGATTTGGACGTGTGTGGGAGTACCAAGGCTTGGGGAGGACGATATGCGGGTCGAAATTGAGGTTGTTGCTCATGTCCCGGAGGCAGCCTCAAAGGTTTAGGCTTTGAGACTCGGTGAACTCAGAACTAGCTCTGGCAAACATACATGGAGAATGACCAAGTCACGAAATTACAACAAACAAGATTCGAAGCAACGCCACACGTGGAGCAATTATAATAATGATGTCCCAAAAATGTCATATTCCCATTATTGTATCAGAGGTAATCTCATCACAAGATCCCAATATCCGTTGAACGCCAATCACACCGAGCGGATTCCATAGGCGATGAACTCAGCCAATGGGGTATAGTCGCTTTGATACATCATTTATGCCTTGCCAGCCTGGACCAAGAGAGCAGCGTGCTGCTCAGGGTGGGTCTTCTCGACGTTGCCCTTGGCCATCTTCTTCATGAGCATGTTGGCCTCAATGTCGACCTCCTCGCGGAGGATGAGGCCGGCAGCCTCGTTGATGATGCGCCACTTGCCAGTGATGACGAGGGTTCCGACGGGGGGCTTAGCGTTGACGAGGGTGTCGACGCCGTCCTCGAGGTTGGTGATGGTGAGCTGGTAGGTGGTTTGGCCGATGGGCTTCTTGTCAGTGACGGAGTAGGTGGCGGACTGGCCGACGCCGACGGAACCGGACTCGAGGTTGTAGGAGATGAGAGCCGGGCAGAGGGTCTTGACCATCAGGTCGTGGTTGTGGATGGCGGAGAGGACGGCGTTGCGGTCGACACCGGCGGGGACGGGGGTGGAGACGACGGTGGAAGGCATTTTGGCAGGGGGTTGAAGATTAGGGGTATCGTGAAGAAGTGAGTATGTTAGTTGCTAGCTGTGGTATGTAAAGGAAGGCGAGGCTGGTGATGCACGATGACCAAAGACCAGCAGGAGCCTTCTTATAGATGTCTCTCTTTCCCCTTCGCTCAGGCCGGGAACAAACTCAATCATTTCGGACGGTTGGAGGTTTCCATACCTCGCAACCCCGTCTGCCCCCCTTATCCCCCTATACTTTCTTCATCCTTAACTCTGAATCCCACCATCGGAGCCCCAAGAAAAGAGTGAACCGACCGTTGCGCCGCTGACGATTCAGGACGGTATGGTTCGCGGGGGCCAAGTAGCAGGAGACGCAAGTAGGGAGGCTAAGTGGCACCGGGCCGGCCGTGCCCCGACCGTGCTCCCGCCGAGCCGGACGTTGAAGCTTAACGCTAGGAGACCTCGATGCTGCACGCTAGTGGGCTCGGCTTTTGTTTGTTCTTTCAGGGGCCCAGGGGAAGAGGAGGCGGGCATCCGTGGAGAAGTCCGTGGGGGGCATTGCCTTACGCCGGTGAGATTAACAGACTCTTGATATCGGTACGAAAACAGAGGGATTTGACTTGGTATGATAGACATGTGGCGTTGATAGAAGAAAGAGTGAACAGTTGTCTCGATAGACATGTTTTCTTGGAAATGTTTCAGTTCAAAAACCATGTTCCTCGAACCTTGGCTCAGCTGCGCTGGCTCTCGCTGCTTGCGTTTGGTCCCGAAGCTTTGGACGCAAAGCACCCACCATCTTCCCGAATGCTGCGTGAGACATGCCCATCACCCAGGTGTTCGTCCGAGACATGCATCTTGTTGCATAAGAGTCCTAGTTACGCGTGTCTCTGGAGCAGCACTCTCCGCATTCCCATCACACGGCCGGCGCACTCGAGCGGTAGCCCTACTTGGCACCTGCGCAAGCTTGGAGGTTACTGGAGGCCTTCAAAACCCCTAATTTCGTCCCAACCACAACTTAGTGAGACCGGCGCTTGCAAGATCAACCACGATAGATCACATTGAAGTCAACGTGAGGCTTAAAATATCCCCAGGTTTGTCTCATCGTCGAAGAAGACGTGACCTAATGAAAGAGTTGTCGCTTTGCGGCGTAAGCCGTTGACAGCCATCAGGGAGGGATCGTCGCGGGCCGAAATTACACTTACCAAGTCTCTGCAAGTAAGCGTCTCCCCCCGAAAACGTCGAGAATACACCAATCAATTGCCTCCTAATCCAGTCTTCAAAACAACCGTCTGAGTGTCCACGTAAGGCCAGACGTTGTTATGATCGACATGATGGCTAGTTCTCTGCGCCGAGGGTGTGCTTGAGGTATCGTCGGTGCGTTCCACGCGCGCTAAAACGCAGACCCGCTGTCTGTCCGTGCCTCTCGGTCATGGCGCTGACGGTCGCACCTCGTTGTTGCTGTAAAAGAGAATATCGATTTCGCGGCAATACGATTGAGTATCAGTGTCCCTGGCTGAGCCGCGTCGTCAACATGCGCTCAGCATGCGCTTAAAGGTAGGGGTCCAGGTTATGCGCTGGTGCGCTCTGGAGGACCAGGGACGCGATAGAGCCTTCAGGTTCATCAGAGGTCCGGTAATCCTTCACTCCGGCTCGTCTTTCATTCATGCGTACTGAGACTTTGAAGTTGGCCACAAATCAGAGTATCAGATAATCGCAGAAGCATTGAAATCCTTCCCTCACCAAGACGGGAGTAATCAAGTCGGTGGCCCGGCATAAGATGAACCGACACGGCGCTGATCCGCACGGGGATCCTCTCTGACTGCTATTTTGGGTTTCCCGCGATCTGATCTCCGGGCCAAGGCCGGAGGTGGTCTTATTCTCGGACTGGGGACTTCATGTCTCTTGTCTATGGAGTCGCATTCTCGTTCTTGCATTTGCCAACTCAGTACTCAAGATCAGAGCTTCCCGTGCCGTTTACAGCAACATGAAGAGCTCCCAGAATTTCACTTGCATCTAACCAAGAGAATTCCATCAAGATTCGGTAGGCGTGGCGGCTCCACCCCGGGTTGGCCAAAGCGTACAGATACACTTACAGACTGAAAGGTGGAAGCCATGGTAGCCGAGCAGAACTCTCAAGACCTCAATGATGGCATTAAAGCCTCCGGAGAAGGGAATGTTCATCTATAGCAGTACTATGATTGAGCTTGTAAGAGATGAAAGTCGAATCTTTGTCGACATAATTCTAGCTCAAAAGTCATGAAAAAGATTCGTGCCATGACGCATGGGGCGGAATATGAATTCCTCCCCCGCTCCTTAGTCATCCATCGGTTCGAGTCGGCTCCCAATAGGCTCACGGGTACCCGTGCATGTAAAATTCCACGGGTACCCGTGAATATGACTAAGCAAGCGGGCGGCACAGATTGACAAACGCGTCTCGCGTCAGTCTACACGTTTCTCTGCACATGGCATGGCAACTCGGCCACACGTTTCTGAGAAGGATGGAATTAGCCCCGGACAACCCAGCACTCAATTTCCTAGACGACTGTCTACCTCCTGAAAGCGAATATGAATCGCGCGATGACCTCATATTGGCAATTAACAACTGGGCGGCAACAAGGGGATACGCCTTCACGACTGGGAGATCGACCAAAGAGAAGAGTGGGCGGCGGACAATTACGTATTCGTGCGATCGGTCGTGTCATCCCCCAAGCAAAGCAATAGCGCGCCAAAGACGAACTACGAGCAGAGGAACGGGCTGTCAATTTTCCGTGCTTGCCAAGGAATCCTTGGATAAAAGCACCTGGAGCTTGAGACACCGGCCCGACAAACGGTTTTCTTCTCATAATCACCCCCCAAGCCAGCATCCGTCTGCTCACCCAACACACCGCAAGCTGACAGAGGAGGATTTTGCGAAAGTAGCCGGCCTATCAAATGCTGGCGTCGCGCCCAGAGATATCCGGACATACATACGACAAACCACAAACTCTGTAGCAACCCAACAGGATATCTACAATCATATTGCAGCCATCAAACGAGATGTTCGTGGAGGGCAGACCTCGATCCACGCACTTGCCAATCAGCTTGACGAGGAAGGCTTCTGGAGTCGAATGCAATTCGCACCAGATGGCCGCGTTACAGCTGTCTTGTTCGCCCATCCAGATTCCCTAGCCCTCCTACAAGCTTACCCAGACGTAATGTTGCTGGACTGCACTTACAAGACCAACAAGTACGGTATGCCGCTTCTTGACATAGTTGGCGTCGATGCTTGTCAGCGGTCCTTCTGTATCGCGTTCGCATTTCTCAGTGGCGAAACGGAAGATGATTATACCTGGGCTCTGGAGCGGGTCAGGTCCTTGTATGACCAGTGCAACGCTAGCCTACCTGCGGTTGTCCTCACAGATCGCTGCTTAGCATGCATCAATGCTGTAGCCGCTGTCTTTCCATCTTCGGCATCTTTGCTTTGCCTCTGGCATGCGAACAAGGCGGTGCTTCAGCATTGCTACTCTGCGTTCGACCTTGTCAAGACGAAGACAACCAGTAGCCCTGCAGCGCCGAAGTCATCGACTGACAACTGGGGAGAGTTCTACAAGTCCTGGCATTTGATTGTTAGCTCGCCGTCTGAGATGACCTTTCAGGAGCGTGTTTCTCACTTCGAGGAACGCTATCTTACGGACCATCTTGAAGAAGTCGGCTACATTACGTCCTTTTGGCTCCATCCGTACAAGGAGAAGCTAGTGAAAGCCTGGGTTGATCAGCACACGCACTTTGGCAACGTGGCTACCTCGCGGGTTGAAGGCATCCATGCTCTGCTCAAATCGCACCTAAAGAGATCCACGTTAGATCTGTTCGAGGCTTGGCGAGCGATGAAGCACGCGTTACTCAATCAGCTCTCGGATCTGAGATCTAATCAAGCCAAGCAACAGACACGAATACCGGTCGAGCTTTCGGGAACAATATATGGCGCAGTACTTGGCTGGGTATCGCATGAAGCCCTCCGGAAAGTAGAAGAGCAGCGGAAGCTGCTCAGTAAGAATGGCACAGACCATTCCTCAGTCTGTACGGGGGCCTTCTCTCGTGTGTACGGTTTGCCATGTCTACACAAATTAAAGGCTTTACAGGAACAAAATCTTGTTCTGCTACGTGAGCACTTTCATGCGCATTGGCACCTGAGGCGTGAAGGGGCGCCGCAGCTGTTACTAGAGCCTCGCCAGCGCATCGAGCCCAGGTTGCAATCGGAGAACCCCCGAATTCCGGTTTCAAGCACTAGGCGAGACCCAAGCAGCTTTGAAATCGTTGAACTCGCGTCACGGGCCCCAAGCACATGTAGTAGGTGTCATGCGGTTGGCCATATTATGACCTCAAAGGCGTGCCCTCAGCGATATTCACATTTGTTGCCTGAGCCAATTCCTACTCCAGGCCTAGCCCCAACACCGAGTGCAGTCTGTGCCACTACACGGAAAGTCACGGAAAGCCTTCCGTCGAACGCCGTACAGTCCATAATAGCCTTGACTCAATCGACTACAGATGAAGCAGTGGATGCCAGGATGTCACCACCTGAGATGCAACCACCGTCTCGGCGTTCGCGTTCGCCCTCGGTTCTAAAATACGATTCACCTCAGGCAATATACGGACGGTACTGTGCAGCGAGAACCGCCTGGTATGCCGCCCAGCCTCGTGGAAGTGTCAAAACAAACCAGGAGTATCGGAGGGCAATGGGACTTCCGCTGCGTTATGGGAAGAAATGTTATGAGTGGTGTCTTGACTACAAGCAGATGAACAAACGCTGCACCACCTCCAAGGGGTCAAGAGATTGGCTTAAGGAAGAGATGATGGCTTATCTAGACTGGGACAGAGCTGAAGAGGAACGGGTTGATGAGCTTGTCATCGCTGAGGAGGGAGAAAACCCTTTTCGAAATAGCAGGAGAGGTATGGGCGACATCTGGAAACGAGTTGAGAGAGACAACGCCGAACAGGAGGCGTTGTATGCTGAGAATCTGCCCGAAGAGTGTATTGTGGTTAAATCGTAAATTATAGGGTAATTGGAACCCAAGCCGCGGCCCCGATTGGCTCAAGACCCGTGCAGCGAACGTGCTTAGTCATATTCACGGGTACCCGTGGAATTTTACATGCACGGGTACCCGTGAGCCTATTGGGAGCCGTTCGAGTCCATGTGATTGGCCCCGCCCTTGCCCATCTCAGTGTTGTGGTTGTCAGGCAAGAGAAATTGCGAACTATTTCCAAGTGCCAGCCGCTGTGCGTCCGACTTTCCACATTGAACCAAAATCGAAGGTGTCCGCGGACTGAAACAGAGAGGATTATATCATCCGTGGTGGAAGACCCTTGCCCATCTTATTCGTGTCTGCTCTCCTTCGCTACTATGCCCCAAGCGTCGTCGGAGCGGGCCGCAAGCCAACCGAAGCGCAGGTACACGTCAAAGGCGTGCGAGGAGTGTCGGCGCCGAAGGGCAAAGGTGGGTGGAATATATTTTCCTTCCAGTCAGTCGATCAGCCCACACATTTGGGACGGCTGAGCTCAACCTATACACGCATTACGATACTCGTATAGACAAGGGGTTGATGTGCTGGCTAAAAGTCTATAATGCTGACTGAAAGGTGCCAACTTTTAGTGTGACGGACTGCGGCCCATTTGTGGCCGATGTTCGGAACGTTCTATCAACTGTCTCTATAGGAGTGAAGAGGACGGTCGTAAACCTGCTTCCAAGACATATGTGCAACTTTTGAGAAACCGAATCGACCTCCTGGAGGCCGTGTTACAGTCCCACACCATTGATGTCGAAGCTGCCGTGGCCCAGCTCTCGGCCACCGGATCAGCACCACAACTACCATCTATCGCCAGTACATTGGCAACCGGCAGCGATGCTGGACTCAGCGTCTCGGCTTTTGACGACCTATGTGCTACCTTTGAAGGAGCACTTTCTCTAGATGAGTCGGTGAACTATGATCAGGATGGAGAGATGCGATACTTTGGCCCAGCGAGCGGCCGCTTGGAGTTCCAGAGTGGTACGTACAGTCGTGTTGGCTGGTTTTATCCCCGGCGGAGGTGGTTACTAACCAGCCTTTAGAATCTACTCCCGAGTCCGACGATCATGGCAGTCCGATGACATCCAAGTCAACGGAGACAAACCGCTACATCCTTCCTCTGGAGGCAGACGTCTACCCGGAGGATCTCACCACGGAACTGATAGACCTATTCTTTGAGTACCAAAATCCCTGGTGTCAGGTAGTCGACGAGAAGCTATTCAGGGAGAGCATGAAAACGCAGGGCCGCTTCTTCAGTCCTTGTTTACTCAATTGTATACTTGCTCTGGGATCACGCTACTCTGATAGGACCGACACCCGCTCCATCCCAGACGACCAAAACTCGGCCGGCAAAGTTTTTCTTCAGAAAGCTGAAGTACTACTACATTATGACATGAAGCGACCGACCATCACGACAATTCAGTC